GTTGATGACAATTGACCAGGGAACTGCACATATTAGGCCTAAATTGAAAATATGGAATAAAAACTAAGCTAGATAATTCCACGTTGTCTACTTTGGCCACAACAGTTTTCTTGTCAATTCTCCATAATCACCAATAGTCAATATACCGAGTTCTACAAACTGAATTGTGATTTTGTTTACTCTTATAGGTCACACTTATAAATTGTAAATATAAAATACGCTTTCAGAATATTTACTGGAATTAAAAAAAAAAAAAAAAAAAAACACTGTTTAAAGTTCTCCTGCTACTTTCCATCCCATAAGACCTAGACACCAGTCATTCTGTGGTCTGTAACTTCCACCAGGCGTCATCAGTACAGGCAGGGCCGGATATCCCATTAGGCAGAATTGTCACCTGCCCACTTGGGGGCGCCTGTTTTTCTCACTTATAATATGCCTTTTTGAGCATAGATAGGCTGCTGGAGAACGAGATACGTCCCAGAAGCCTTGGTGAGTGCCCTCTGTAGTCCAGTAGCAGAGCTGCAGTAGCAGTTATAACACTCAGTGCTCTCCCAGCTCCTCCAGTGTCCATGTTTGAGGCTGGACAGGAAGTGGAAGGGATCACTTCCCATCTGCCCACTAGTAACTTTTCACACAGGAAGTGCCTTGCAGGAGGAGCAGGACAGCACTGAGCGATGCACTCTGTATAACAGCTACGGTACCTCTAATATCATCAATCTGACTGGTGTACAGAAGACATTGGAGGGTGAGCTCTTTGTAAATAACCCTTCAAATGCCAGAACTCAAAACCTTAAACTGACTATAAACCCTTTAACTTAAGTCTATGTTTAACTCTTCTTAAAAACGAAACACTATCTGATGTACTCCAATACTAAATTAAACCCTAAAACACCTAAAAGCTAAATTTAAGCCCACTCTAACCCTAAACCCATTAATCTCAAACAGCCCTGACAAGTAAAACCCCAGGTCGGTACTCAACCCTTTACCTTATAATGCTGATGCCAGCTAGGAATACCTTTACCCATTTACCCGGTAATGGGTTAAACCATTTAGTAATAGTTTGCCCTCTTATCTGGCCCACCACTGAGCTCCAAGGCTCCAGTCACTGTAAATTGGCTGAAAGCATCCTCTTACCACTTTCAGACAATGAATGGGACACATTTGTGCAGAACTGACATTAGATTGCCCAGAGTTCTTGTTCCTTAGGCAGCATTCGGCAGCACATCCCTATTTTTCAGAAGTCAACCTAATCCTTGCAGGTGGCAGACTGAGGAGTCATTCTGAGTAGAATGACTGGAATTCTGAGTAGAATGAATGGAATTGTAGTTTCCTTGCAGTCTGTGTGCCATGCTAAGGTCACAGTTTGGGTGCGAGAATGAGACTATGTATGAACTCACCTTGTTCTGTCTGTACAAGATTGGAAAAGTGAATGCTCCGATGACAACTGAAAGGGAGAATAAAATTACAATTAGGGATCATCCTTTTCTTTTAATGAGAATTTCAGTTTTGCTATGTTATAGTCCGTCTATGACTTGTCAGAATTGTATTTCAGGGAGAAATTATTTTAAAAAGTAAATCTAGGTGTCCCTGCAACATGCATCAGTGCTCATTCTGTTACTTTATAAGACATATTCAACTATTCCACTATAACTCCTGTTAACCCCAGCCGCCTTAGTGATGATACCGTCTTTCGCCGAAAATAAGACCGGGTCTTATATTGGTTTTCCCCCCAAAAACCGCAAAAGGGTTTATTTTCGGGGGATGTCTTATTTTGGAAAAAAATGGTAGCAAGCATATGCTAGAAAGTAGGTCAACATTCGGGGGAATTCCCTGAACATAGACCAGTTCACTAGGGCATGGAATCCCGCAAATCTATGTTCGGGGAAACTTCCCCGAATTAACTTACTCTCAAATGGAATCCTGCGAATCTATGTTCAGGAAAATTCCCCGAACATAGATTTACGAACTAGCTTCAAGGGCTTATTTTCGTGGTAAGGCTTATATTACGAACATCCCCCCCAAAAAAGCTAGGGCTTATTTTTGGGGGATGTCTTATTTTCGGGGAAACAGGGTGGAAGAAGCAGTATAGAAGTATCTAGAGAAACATGGTCTGCAAATCTATATTAAAACTGGAAAACCTATACCATTACGAATCATTAGGAATCCTCATGTAATGATAGAAATGTCATTGGTTCATATAGAACACTCCAAGTACCATAAGGAATACAGCCTGCCGTAGAGCACCCTACCATCGTAAGTAGTCAAACTGAGAACAGTTTGTTAACTTACTTGGGGTCCTCAGTGTACAAGTCACATGGTCCCTTGGAACTGCAAGCTCCTGCAAGAATCCCGCTGTTGCTTAATTCAGTTACACTTGGAAGTCAGGTTAAAGATCTGCAGTATTTACTATCTCACATTGTAGGTTACTTTCCAAGTGTAACTCAGCTCAGTCAGTGGATCTATGACAGCACAACACTAAGAAAACAGCAGCCATAAGCTTATAGCCGCACACGTCATGTGACACTATGAAAAAGTTTAAAAAAAGTAAACAAATACTTACTAAGGTCTATGAGATTCTATTTGGATTGAGTCTTCCTTATTATATCCTTAGTATGTACCATGCTGCTTTTTCTTGTCAAACACTGAAAGGGTTCATTTTACTAGCAGCACTCTCCTAATAAGACCATAGGACAGCATTGCTACCAATAAACTTTTTTTTTGTTTTTAAAAAGCAAATCTATCATCATCAGGAGACTTTGCAATTTGCAATGACCCCAGATAGTGACATCTCTACTTGGGGTCCGGTGACCAGGGAAAGATGAGTTTTACTTACCTGGGCCCCCCTCCATCCTCTTCTTGCCTGTCCTCTTCTTCTCCTGGTGCTTCATCTCCCAAAAGTTGACGTCACTGCTGTACTTTTATATATATATATATAAGAGTATAGCCCACAAGATCTTCCATGGGTAGAATTAATTTCACAGACATTCCAACACAGTCCATATAAGTAGTTTATAAAAATCCTATTTTTTTATGAAATACTCTTTTTGCGAGGGGTGACTTGCCGCCTTAAGTCCGTTGAAACCACAACGCCATTTGTGAATATCAAATGGAGTTATGGTTTCCTATGGAGAATTCTTACTCTGGTTGAACGGTCTTCATAATAATACATAAATTAGCTAAAAACAAAACAAATCCAATCAGGCTCTTTAAGCCTCAGTATAATTTTCCCTTGGACCATGGCTACTTACCCAGGAGTAGAAGAGTAAGTCCATTGAACACAGCTCCGACATATGTGAGGAGGTAGAGTAGGAGTAAGAACTGCAAGATGAGAGTGAGTGTTAGTGTATGCTAATACATTGTTACTTATAAGAGAAAGTTACAGTTCCACTTTCTATGATGTTACATGGAATCCATCCCGCACACAGACCTACTCATCTGCTTATTGTATCAGATCTATCTGCTGGCCGCTTTCTATTAATTGAAGTGAGTTCAACCCCAATAAAAAGAGATGACATGGAAAGTCTGAGATTGGCTTGATGTTGGTCATAATTCACAGGAAATAGCATCATAAAAGGAAAGTCAGAGAAACAATGAGCTATAAAGGCTCTGGAGTTTTGGTAATGTAGTAGTCTTTGTTTTAATTAATTTTATTGATCCTGATCATTGTAAAGATTTTGGAAAACCTAGTCTGTGTATCTGATAATCAAAAGACTAGGTATGCATCAGGTATAGCAGATATCATACTTTAATATACAGTTACTATCTCCTGCCAATCATAGAGTGAGATACACAGTCACTATCTCCTGCCAATCATAGAGTGAGATACACTGTCACTATCTCCTGCCAATCATAGAGTGAGATACACTATCACTATTGACTGCCAATCATAGAGTGAGATACACTGTCACTATCGACTGCCAATCATAGAGTGAGATACACAGTCACTATCTCCTGCCAATCATAGAGTGAGATACACAGTCACTATCGCCTGCCAATCATAGAGTGAGATACACTGTATACACTGTCACTATCTCCTGCCAATCATAGAGTGAGATACACTGTCACTATCTCCTGCCAATCATAGAGTGAGATACACAGTCACTATCGCCTGCCAATCATAGAGTGAGATTCACTGTCACTATCTCCTGCCAATCATAGAGTGAGATACACTGTAGCTATCTCCTGCCAATCATAGAGTGAGATACACAGTCACTATCTCCTGCCAATCATAGAGTGAGATACACAGTCACTATCTC